GGAAATCCAGGAATACTAGAATTGTGGTCCGCTTCTACCACCGCATCATAAAACTTGTCTTTGATGATGTCAGAGCAACTTTTGATGGGGGCGTTAGCAAGCACGGCAGCAGACAACGAATCCAGGAATACTAGAATTGTGGATCGCTTCTACCACCGCATCATAAAACTTGTCTTTGATGATGTCAGAGCAACTTTTGATGGGGGCGTTAGCAAGCACGGCAGACAGACAACGATCAACTTCCCTCTTGTGAGACTCCATGGACGTTTACAGACGGGCTGCGCAGAGGTGACTGCTAACGGTTATCCAACCAACCAGGGATCCTTCAGCTCTGTGACTTAAGACGATACCGACTCCCCTACATCTTTTCGCTTCTGGATTGCCAGAGGTGAGCAGCCGGAAGGGGACGAGAAGCGATGACCCGTCAACGTCTTTGCATGCATTTTGATTCCCTGGTTTTGATGCAACACATTGTCAAGCGAATCTGGTGTGAGAATAAGAGCAGCTTGTCGCCCTGTTCACTTCAGGATTGAAAATTAATTTTGAGATGCCAGAGACTGTCGGCCCCGACGATCCGTAGATGTCACCTTGTAGACCGATGCAAGACCAACGGAGACGTCAGTCTTAACGGGTGGGCCTGCAAAGAGAATGTGCAATAGTGTGGAAAAGGGATGTAAACGAGGATGAAATGAGGCTTTAGCAGTAGCCCGTTTCCGACTGCCCGCCCTACTGTATGCAGGAAGTTCATAATCATTTTCAGCTGTAAAAACCGCGTATTTGTCGGTTGTTGTCCATCTTTTTCACTTATCATTTCGCTGACCGTTGCTTTCCTGGGGTCAGTCGAATGTATCAGTTGATACAGGGCGCGGTTGTTCCCGGTAGCAAAATCCTTCTCCATCTCCCATGCTTTCAAAGTCCACCAGAGCTCTTGGTCCTTCCTTAAACTCTTCACTATTTGGCGTTTGAGGGATCTGCGTGCGCCGTCGTACTCGTTGCCGGCTGGTATGGCTTTCCTGGCATCAATCATGGATAACGACCTCGACGACGTCCATTTGTCTTGTGGTCGAATTGAAGAAGTCACGCAGGCAGCACTGAAGGCCGCTAGTATAGCTCCTTTCACATTTTGCCACGTTTCGCCCACATGCTCACTGCCACCACAGTATTGGTTTTCTGTGAAAAGTTGTTGGGTCAGCTCTGATCGATACTGTTGAGGTATGGTAGTTCTTCGAAGATAGTGGATTGGCGTGCTTGCTGACTTGCGAGGGCCTGAAGGGAAACGAACTGTCAGGCGTGCACGCACCATGACGTGATCAGAATCAAGTGGTTTACCGCAGAAGGAACGGCAGTCTTGAATTGTAGCTCTCCATCGGTGACTGATGGCCACACGGTCCAATCGGGTCCGAATAGCTCTCGATAGAAACTATTTTCAGCCTCAGCATTGCGTTCCGTTGGAGCAGAAGCCGACACTACAAACAGGCATCGCGTTTTATGCCGAGAGGCATTGAGCTTGGTTGAGCTGGATAACCGGACGGCGCAAAGACGACTGTTCACTGGGATCCAATCCAGCAAAGCGCGTTCAGCTCTGGGGCTGAGTGCATTTCCCACGCCGTATATTCCACAAGTCATCGCTTCTGGGTCACCGGACACACGGAGGGAGAAGTGTGAGAAAGCTGAGTTCGTTCTTGGCGTTCTGAGATGCATAACCGCGCTTGGGTCTTGTATGCGTGTTTCGGTGACACAGCACACCACCAATTTTAAGGGAGCATAGGGTTTCAGCAAGTATTGTCTGTTTGCCAATTTGACATAGAGTGTGGGCGCCAAAAGCTCCTATATGGAAAGGATCTCGTGGATCTAGAAAGGTTTTATTTTGTTCATTGTTAATAGGCAGCGAGAGGCATAAGGCGCTTCGGTCAGACAACAGATATTCAAATGACCCAGCGACGTTTGCTTGTGTAATGGGAAGGGTTTGGGGAGGGACATCAGTGGACACCGAACTGTGCAAGTCAGTTAACCCGGCTGATGATACCACGCGACGACCGGTGTGGCTTGACAATGTCAGCAATAGGAGTCGTGGTTGTGCTTAGATTTGGTACTTCTAGGGCCTACAGACTACACAGGAGGACAGTTGAGGTCCTCCACCGAAGACTTTGTTTCAGAAGTCTGGCCGCAAGACAGTGGTGTTTGACGGAAATGGCATTGCTACGCATTTTCCAACCTCCAACCTTGGGGACCAGGTAACTTTCTTAGTCAAACCTCTAATCATTTACCAACGTGGTATCAGAGAATGCGGGAGCATATGCCATCACACCACGCTGAGTTCCAATCTCTGCGATAGATTGATAACAGACAACGGACTTGGTCGCCAAAAAAGTCTTCTATATTCTGAAGGACAGGTTTTGGCCATCTGGTTCAGTTTTGCTCCATAATCTCCTGCTGCGCAATATCATTTTTGGTGACATCACGCACCGTGCCTAAAGTCGTCGGCAGTTTTGTAGTCCCCAATACCGCAGCATGGTTTGACAGCATCGGATACTTTAACGGTGCCTTCTGGTTCCATCGCGCGAAAACCAGTCAAGCGCATCTGCCTGTCCAATGTTTTCTATCAAGGTTTGGAAAGTTATAGCCTAACAGGACTGCATTCCTAGTTAGAATCGGTTGAGTAGAAGACCGAAATATCCTTCTGGGAACCAAATGTATCCAGCGGTTTAAACATGAGGTTGCTGAAAACTGGAGAACGTCATAAACGAGAATATCAACCAGTTCCAAGTGTCTCCTGGTACCAAATCGGTATTCAGATGGAGTCGCAAAGTATTTTGTGTAACTTTACATCAAAAATGGTTAAAATCGTTTCATTTTTGACGGCTTTAGTTTGCTTGATCAAATGATCTTGCTCCGTGGTCTATCGTCCCCTACATACCATCGAAGAGTTTATGGTTAATAGCTGCTTAGGTAGTGAGGACAATGGTTATGAGAACGATAGGCAGAGGTTGAACTAGGTAGGCAGAGTTTTGACTTCAAAATGGCCTCGAATATAAGCTGGCAGTCGCAGTGCATAACTGGAGAAAAGCGCGTCACCAGCTTATTAGCTCTAAAAATGGTTTGAGCTAGGCAATATTGTCGTTGGGTATATTCTCACAATTGCAGCGATATTTGACGGGTCGGACAGGCGGTTTTTTTGTTGGTAATGAGCCCGAGTTGTTCCGTCGAACTTAGCAGGAATTCAGTTTTCTTTCTAAAGCCAGAAACGGTAGTCACGTATCCGTTAGACAACGAACCCAGCCGTGCCAGAAGCTTTTCATACTGTTGATAATGATGAAGCTGGAGTGGTTAGAGCGCGAATTTACTGACCGGACCGTGTTTGGGTATATTCTCACAATTGCAGCGATATTTGACGGGTCGGACAGGCGGTTTTTTTGTTGGTAATGAGCCCGAGTTGTTCCGTCGAACTTAGCAGGAATTCAGTTTTCTTTCTAAAGCCAGAAACGGTAGTCACGTATCCGTTAGACAACGAACCCAGCCGTGCCAGAAGCTTTTCATACTGTTGATAATGATGAAGCTGGAGTGGTTAGAGCGCGAATTTACTGACCGGAAGGTCCGTGTTTGGTACCAGACTTACGCCCCTCGACTGTCTAGGGAGTCCAGGCCTGGACAAGCTGGCAGTATCCCAGCCCTCGTGCTTCCATCGGATGGCATGTCAGTTAGGCACCGAAAGGGTACTACGGGTGAACGATATATATCAGTCACTCTCACGACGACCATGCACACAATGTCTTCCACACTTCCAGGATGCTGACGTCGGCTTTGCTGCTGACGCGGAAAGCTGCTTCAAGATGTTTTTTGCAATACTGATATTAGAGTTGGATGATGGTCTCTCCAGATGTTTTCTTATTTAAGGCTCAAGGACTGCTGGCACTCGTGAATGATGGTGCGTTTTGTCGAGGGACTTTTCAATCTTGTTCAACAGCCTCGCTCTGAAATAACTGAATGTGATTGGAGGCCACATATGAAAACTATGCATTTGAACTAGTATCCCATCATAGTAGTTCGCATAAGTGGTGTAGTCCTCTGACATCTTTTTCACCGGTTTCACACAGTGAAATCGAAAACCGAACAAGGAAATTTTCTGAGAACCGCGTATGGCTTCGTCCAAGCAGGGATCTCGTATACTCCCCGACAGGAGTGTGTCCCGTTGTACAGCGTTTTCGGAGCATCATCTTTGTGCATGAGTTGGACTCTGTAAACACCTTTGTAATATTTGAACCGAATTAGGTTTATAATGGAACTTTGCTACGCTGTTTGCGGTCAAGTCAGCGGAATCAGAAACTTAGTGACGAAAAATGCATCTCTATGACGATCAAGCAAGTGCAAAATTACCGGGGATGTTTTTTGAGTTTGAATCAAAGTTGCCCGCTCGGCGTCGAATGACGTTACTACCAGGATATCCTGAACATTCGAATATTGCCGGTCATCCCTGACTGACTGCGTGAATGTCCAATCGTCAACTACCTTTTCTGTTTCTTAGACTTGATGACCTTTCAAAAACCATTTCGGCGCAGTTGGTGGTTCTCAGTAGGCTATTTTCGATAGCCTGATGTTATAGAAACTAATTTATTGAACATGGTTTTAGGTAGCTTGAAGACCAGATTTTTGTTCTATAATGGATCCCTTGTTCCGTTTCAGCGTGTAGACACATCGTAATGTGACAGTTTCGTAGTTCAACGGTCCGGATGCGAACATGTCCAAGGTATGTATTCGTTTCCTGTCACATGATCTACTCCTTCAGGTAGAAGATCCGGGTGTTCAAAAGAATCCTTCCCTGGAGTGTATAAACGCCGGTTTCACTTTCCGAAGTAAAGCACCTGGATGTAACGTCTTACATATGCCTCACGCACCGGTTTCACAAGCTGCTCTCAGTGCTTCTGGTCCATGTGATTGGTTAGCTTCCTCAAATCCGTCTACGGAGGACTCAACGCCCTCCGTAACCGGTTTAACCTTCGAGGAAACACGAATGTTATGGAGCAATAGTGCGCTGTTGCCCAGTGCTTCAGTTCAAGATGTTCCCGTCATAAAATCGCTCACACTCAACTCGGTGCCGTGGGAGTTGCCTTCGACCCACACGACCTCTAATTCGATACCCATGAATTCAAATCGCAGGGAAAAGATCGGGTCGGTACAGTTTACCGAATCCGGTATAGCTGAAGGAGGTATCTTGATGTCACCAGGCTCAAAGGATATGGCAACCCTAGGGATGCAGATGGTTGATCAAGTGCTGAGCAATTCTCCCGGCACTGGAGGTAAATTTCCCTTAGTAAACCATTGTCGCTTTTGAAAATGTGCATGCCGCGGAACCTTGTTCTAATTACTTTATCGTGAATGCCTAGAACCACCGATTATTTACCAAACCTCTCTGAAACGATGACTTCCCAATCGGTCCCAAACATTTTCCAATTGACTGAGAGCCTTTCATTTTATGCAAGTCCTTGCAATGTTTGGTAGTATGACATCAAGTACACTGGTTCTAAGCCAAAAGCGTCCCTTCTTCAGAAGAGGTGGCTGACAGGAACTAAATTATGTGGCAAGTCGTCGTAACTAGACACAATTAACAGGGGCCATCCAAGGGGATACAATCATTAGTTACCGAGGTACATCAGCAAAGAGTCTTACTTATGAATGAAAGCATAAGGTCCGTGTAGAGAATTGCTTGTGATAGCTTAGTATCTTCATGGAACTGGATTGCGACCTTCCATACACTGGTGAACTCCGGCGCGTGCTTCATGTCAGACGGATTTTCTATCGCTCCCGTCTACATGAATGCTGATGGACTCGTTGAAACCGTAAGAAGAGTTTTTTAACCAGGGTGACCGTACAGGAAGTGTATGGTACCAACGTACTGATCTCAGAGCTGCGTTTACTTCACCCTCGTCGCATTCTGAATCCATCTTATGGACACAGAAACGTTCTGTAGTTTTCAATGTTCGAAGTTCCTCTATACTTTAATTTGGCCACTTTGTCTTCTGTGGGTAGAACTTACTTCATTTCTCATAACAGATATCTTCCTGCTAGAAAGGAGACTAAATAGGTTCCTTTTGTTGGTCATGAACTAAATGGCGAGTATCGTTCTGGATACTTGCATGGGACCAACCCACCTTCACCGTATCTAGCCTTTATCATGGGGTGGCTTGTTTCTACTGTGATAATCGACTTGGATAGTAGCCTGAATGAAGATCGCATGTGAATACAGATCGAGACTATCTTCAGTTAAATTTGGTCGGCCTAGCCTTATTTGTGCTGCCTATGAGTCCATGCACACCCTTTTCATGAACTAAAATGACTCAATGATGACTGGTAATGTATGTAGCCGCACAGTAAATCGCCAGATGTAAACTGTGATTGTGAACCTATGTTCCTCGCTCTGATTTAAAAAAGTTACTGCCCCTTGGTCAATGGCAAGTCCTCTTCACGGGGATTCTCCTTAGAAATATAACTCAATGGAACTGTTATTCCGACCAAAGTGCTCTAAATAAGAGGTATCCTTTCATCCTAAATTTGTAAGCGTTGCAGCAGATGTTACCAGTATACCATTTTTGCTTCCTCCTAGTTTCCCTATCCACTAGGTATAAAGTTGATGTGCTTTCTGCTGATGGGTGGCCGTTCTGGTGTGTGTTGTTGATATATGGTTGAAGCAGTCATCTTGTAACCGTCTACCGAAGAGCTCATTGATTGAACAACCCCGCTTTTAACCTGTGTCGTTATTCGTTCTACATTCGAGCAATAAACAACACGTGTTTATCACTTGTGCAAATGATAGTGTAATTTGACTGGTTATACGGTATTTGGTTTTCACTTAACTCAGAAAACTTTCAGTGGGGTAGAATGTGACTTCTAAACCGGGTAACAGTACTTAGTCAGAGAGGGATTTTTTTGTACGATTACCGTTTGTTCGATGGAGTTTCTCAGGTGTTGCTGCCTTGGTATCTCGGAATGCTAATCTACCGCTCAGCAATTTAAACCTTCGTTTCTTTGGCTTAATCTGTCCTTCTAACTTCGCTTCATTTCAGCTCTATTACTTCGAGAGTTTCAGGACAACCAACATGGAGCATACCGCACTGCAGTATCTTCAACTACGCTGACCAGCTCGACAACCCCAAGCGCGTCTTTCTCGTACGATCCCGAGCTAAGACCCTTGGAAAACGACACAACAAGTATCGCGCATACAGGCGCCATCGCTACCGCAGTTACTAGTTGTTTCAATTCAGCACAGTTTTATATTCGTCCGTCAAACTCGACAAGGCCAGCACTTCCTCACATCCCGATTCCATATCCACTCATGTCCAACCAGATCTCTGATTTTATGCAGTACAGCAACCCCGCATGTTCCGACCCCACTGGTAGTGAGTACCGCGAAAATTCGGCTCACTCTGAAAACCTTTTACACCAACTCATCGGCGTTCACTCGGGAGTTGAAACTCCCGTATCCACACCGACTGCGGTAACTTCCGCCATCCCTCTTGGATTACCGGTGTCTCAAGCTTCTAGAGAGGCGCGACTTCTTGGGCAGTCAGAGGTAAACCCGGTTATGTCCATGGTCCCGCAAGCTGACCAGGTACATCGATATCAGCACATGGACGCGGGCTACATGCCTCATCCGAGTCAACACGGACAATTCAATCCTCTTGCTGTTGCAAATCCAGGCAGTTCCATCAATCCTTCGGAAATGACTGTCTATCCCGAACAGAATGGCTCAATGGCACCCGCCATCGGTCCTCTGACTTCTGTCGGTGCTGAAGGGTTCGCAGCAAGCGCTCGCATCCCGACAGTTTTCAATCCGGTCGATCAAAATAGTTGTCCGGGTTACGCTGCTCCATCATTGGATTACTATTTAAATGGGACATATAATGCGGAGAGCAACCGTTTACCGGAACAACCAGTCCTTGAGAACATGGGTGGTACATTTCCCACGACCTCCCAGTTAGGTAAGCTTTCGGTTTATTGTGTGCCTATTCCTCACCTTTACTGTAACACCGCTCATATACTGGCTCGTCATTAGCATTTTTACTGGAAGCCAGTGCATATATTTTTCGTCAGCGTGAGCTTTGTTCGGTCGTCGATATTAAACCGATCCAATCTATAAACGTTGACTGCCCTCAGCCATTTAGCCTCTGTGCGGTTCGTCTGGCAACGTCTGTGAAGGAGTCTCACAAGCGACAATTCGATAGATGTCTGTTTATCGTGTCTGCCTACGCCCCAACTGACTGTAGCTCCGACGCACTGAATGCCCCGCTGCGGCGAGCTAAAAGCTCAGGCATTGTGGTGGTTGCCGGATATATGAA